GGCAGGCGGGGCCCGGGGGGGAGGCACCGCTGTGGGGACAAAAGCCCTGGCACCCCGGGGTGCTGCTGAGCCCCTGGCGCTGGCTGGCTGGCAGCACCCTCCCGGGGAAGCCTTTGGCCAGGGCTGCCACCTTGGGAATGCAAAGAACCAGCAACTTCTCCCCTTGCCCCCAGGCAGGCCTGGCACAGCTCCAACCAGGCTACTTCACCCCCCACCCTCCCACAGCAACCCAGAGCAGCGAGGGGCAACTTACTAGCTGCACGTGGCCCATGGGGGCTTGTGAGACATTTCGTGTACTGTTGTCCATGCACAAGGTTGCCAGATTCTGCTGGTTTCCGTCTACACTGTTTTTTCCTGCTGGTGTTACTAAAGAGACGCGCATGTACAGCGAGGTGCGTGCTGGTTGCACACAATGTTGGCTGCCATGCACTGCCTGTGATTCCTATCAAAGTGCTGCTGTGGTTCTTTTGGCACATCCTGCAAATGTTAGGTATGCAAGTGTAGTGAGCAAAACTACCCTATCCTGGGAGACCGTCTTGATCACGACAACCATGCAATTCACTGAGATGGAGGAGAGCCTGCTCACTAGCCTAGGTTGCCCATTGCTGATTTAAGAAGCCAATACACTTCTAGATAACAACTTGTCTCCTCATGACTCAAACCCTCTTTGGGCACTTGTGTGTTAGTGGGTAGGGAGCTGCTGTATTTCCAGCTGTTTTGATGGAATTTTTGGACTTGGATTGGGAACGCAGCGGTATTTTCAGCTGGCTGCAGAAACGAATAATGTTAGGTCTCTTCCCCAAAAACTTAAAAAATGAATGGTCCTGTAGCACCTTAGAGACTAACCAAAAATACAGATAGTATCATGGCACAACAAAAGCTCATGATACTAACTATATTTTTGGTTAGCGTCTAAGGTACTACACGACCATTTGTTGGTTTTTAAAGTTTTTTATTTTATTTTTTTTAGTTACAGACTAAAACGGCTACCCCTCTGACATCATTAGCTATCTCAGTGTGTTGTGAGAATAATACAAATCTGTAGATCCATGTAAAAAAATAATGGCTGCCTGAATTTTTTTTTTTTTTTTTTGGCAATTGGCAAATCCATTTAAAAGAAAACAGCCAGTCTGGTCATATACTGGCTAAGTGGTAACCACACTAGGAAGTCTAGGGTCCATGCATGTGTAGATGGGGTGCAGGATCTTTTGGCCTGGGCTGGGACATGCAAGGAATTGGGGAGATAATCAGGATTCCTAGCATAGGAAACAGCAAAGTGAACCTGTTTGACTGGAGGATGTGGGTGCATCTCACATTGCCTATTGACTGACACCTGCATATCCCTGCCCTGTGAGGTGGGGTTAGCAAGTCCCAGGAGGGTGTAGGCAGAGGCATTTCAACAAAGTTTTCCGCACAGAGCTGCAAATCTCACCAGAGAGATGTCTAGACACATCTTGGGATCAGCTAGGCTATGTCAACCTGCAGCTGGCCAAAACAAACTGGAAACCAAATGTAGCTGGAGCCATGTTTGAATGGTGTTTAGATTCTGCTTCAGCACAGGGTTCAAAGCCCAGCACCTAAGGGTCAGCTATTCAGAAGTATGTAGGAGCCTTAAGATGCAGCTAGATGCCTAAGAGCATTTTCAGAATCATGTCAGTAGGTTAGGTGCTTGTTCCCCATAGGGACTCCCACATCCCACTAAACCCCATATGCATCTTTGGACACCTAAATTTCTGGCCTTAAGAACTTTGCCAACCGTTCCATAAATGAGACCACAATTCACACTTAGAGAATCATTGGTGGCTAAGAAGGTCCCATTTTTGCCAGTGTAGCCACAACCTCAGGCTGTCTGCCTAGCATAGTGCTTTGTAAATCTGACTTGCATGTGTACTAACTCCCTTTCCTTCTTCCGCTATTCAATGGGAGACCTTCTTTGCTCAGTGTGTGTCCCTCTCCTTATCTGTGCTGAATGTGCTGGGTGTCGTGACTCTCTCTGGCCCGCATTACAGGCTGCTGGGAAGATGACGAACATCAGTGACCTGCCCGAAGATCTCCTGCTAGAACTCCTTTCCCTGGTCCCCGCCCGGCAGCTGATCTGTAACTGCCGGCTCGTCTGTGTCCTGTGGCGGGATGTGGTCAACTTACCCACTCTGTGGAAACGCAAGTGCCAGCGGGAGGGCTTTAGTCAGAAGTGGAACAGGAATATCTTGGACTGGAAGACCTTCTACTTCCTCTGCAGCCTGAAGAAAAACTTACTCAAAAATCCTTGTGCTGAAGGTTCACTCCTTTTTATTGGAAAGTACGGTGGGAGGGGAATTCCTTAGCAGCTATGAGGATGGTCAGTTTCATAGCCCAGCCCAAGGCCTGATCTCTTGGGCCTTGCCTACCCTGTGAATTATTGGCTCTGGTTACAGCCATGAGAGTCTGTCTGCTGATATAATTGTGCCGGTGCAACCACTAGCATAGGCAAGTAAACCTGCACTCAGGAAATTTGAGGTAAGGGCTGAAAACGTCAGGTTCTCAGCCCCTTCTCTCCTTTTTGGCGATTAACCCTCTGTCTGCCGTTTGAGTGGCCTCACTGTCCTCTTTACAATCCCTTTCTAGAGAGCTTTCAGTTCTGGAAACTGGACTCCAACGAGGGAGACGAATGGAAGGTTGAGGACCTGCCTGGGGAACATGGGACAGACTTTCCCAGCCAACAAGTGCACAAGTACTTTGTCACCTCGTATGGGTAAGAATCAGGTTCTCATGCTTGGAGCCTGGGCCTGGAGGGAAGAGGGCAAACTGGCTTTCTGGGAGCGTACCGGACTTAAGGCAGGTGGGTGGAGCTGGGTCCAGGAAGAGAAAGCAGAACGAATATCTTAGTTAGTTTGTGGAGATACAGAGGGAGCATCCTTTTCTGCCTTCATGAGGCATCCTGACAGCCAGGCAAATTCTCTGAAGGGCACTCAAGGGCTACCTGGAAGAGCTTTTTAGTGCAGATGGAAGCTCCTCACAGCTTGGATTCTTGCTTCTTTTCTAATAGAAGCAACGGTCATACAGGTTATGTAAAGGGTTGGTAAATGGGTTATAACGTAGACAGCTTTCCTCAGTCATTTGCCAGTAAGATTGAACAGTGTTTCCAAACCTGTGGGATAATCGGATTCAAGTTCTCGGTGTGTGTCTGGTTCCAGCAACCCACAATAAAGGCAGTTGAGTAGGAGTCAAAGGGGAGTATTAGCTGCTGTTGAGTGGGTAGCACATCTGCTGCTACATCCCTGAACCATGTGCTGTCTGGTCTAGCATGTCTGGCACAGTACCTGGTGTTACTAATCTGCGGTGAGCTTGGGTTTTAACTTAAAGGGAACCACTAAACTTCACTGGAGAGATGAGGAAATAGACTCAAAACCAAGTTGCATGTGATGCTGAAAACGTACATGATTTGTTCCCAGGTCATGTCTAAAGTCTCAGCTCATTAACCTAAAGGAAGAGGGTTACTGGGATCAGGTGATGGATGAAGTACGGCCTGATATTACAGTCAGGGATTGGTGAGTGTGTGCGTTTAAAAACTAGACTGTCTGCATATGCTATGATGTCTAGATTTCAGCTTGGACTAGTCAGTGGAGCTCTTTGATTCTTAGCCTCCTGGGACTGTAATTATTTAATAATTATTTAATAATAAGAATTGAGTTCTGTTCCTAGTCTGGAAGGGATCATGATCCAGTGTTAACTCATAGCCAAGATTCTGGAATTCTACGCCCATCTCTGCCACTTGCTCACACAATGTCTGTGCCTCAGTTTCCCCTCCAAAGGTTGACAATACTGCCATCTGAACAGTTCTTTAAGGTTCTCTAAAGACAAATACTAGTTAATAGTAGCATCACCTTTTGGGTTACTATAACACTGGGGACACCATTAGTGATATGGAGGGCTGGATTTCCTATCCTATGGGCAGGATTTCCGAGCCCCTGTATAAAAGGACTAGTCCTTGCCATGCCAAAAGCAGGGAGGGCTTGTCTCTAGCAATGGACATCCCCAGAAGAGTGACTGCCCTGTGGCAGGTGTGCCCTGTGGCAGGTGTGTGTATCTTCCCAGTGCCTGACCTCTCGCTGTCTCTCCAGGTATGCTGCCAGGTTTGACTGTGGGTGCCGTTATGAACTCTGCGTGCGGCTGCTCTCTGCAGACTACATTGTCCTTCATGAGTTCTGTCCGCAACCAGTAGTCATGGAGCAGTGGAGTGATGCAGAGTGGAGAGAGGTGAGGAATCCAGGGAGTAGCTGTGTTGGCAGCAGCTTTCGATCAGTGCTGTGGTTTTAACATGTGACACTCATCTGAACTATAGCTGGATAACAGGGGGTCTCCCTTCCCCAGGACATCTGCTGGCTTTGGGCATGCAGCTCTAACATTATTCTTTAGTGGCCTTATAGAAGCACAGCAGTGGGAGAGGGAGCTGGGTTCAGTAGAGGTTGCAGATGCTCAGCACTTCCTATATCTGTTGAAACGTGGTGAGTTTAAATAAATGCAGACATTGAAATAAACATTAAACTGGTGCAAGACATTGTGTAGATATTATTTTGGTTTGTTTTAAGCCTCTTCCAAATCTCACTAAGCAGAGAAACCATTCTTAAACCAGAGGAAGAGCTCACCAGCAAAACTGGGCGCCTCAAGTTATATTGAAGCAGCTTTCTTGTGTAGATAAACCCTAAATTCAGAGTACACTGGCCTGAAATCAGGGTAATTCCCAGCGTAGACAATGCCATTGTCACTGAAATCATTTGTGTGTTATTTTTTAAACAAATGTCCTGACTTACTGCTAACCTAATTAAAACCTGAGAAACGTGAATATGCCTGATCCTGTTGTGATTAGTTAGTTTCTTCAGCAGGGAAACTGTGCGACTTGACCAACCTATTTTCTATTATGTCTCTTACTTTAACAGAATATTTTGTCTGTTTGGGTGGCAAGGCTTAAAGCAGAAGATTTAAAAATCCAAATATTTTCTGATAAGCCTGCCACTATCAGAATCTAGTTTAACAATAAGCATATTGCTACCTCTGGCACCAAATCACTTATCAAATATGATTGAAAAGCTTTGAAAATTGATCTTTTCCCCCCTCTGCTGTAACATTTTTTTGTTTTCTATGCTTCCATCAGTGTTACTAAGAATCCAGTTTCACTTCTGCAACAGGGAACTGTTTGTTAAGATAACAACCAGCTTTTGTGCTGACATTTCCAAATCCTTCCTGGGCAAACTGCTATTAGCACTTTGTCAAAACAATTTTTAAAGAAAAGCCAAGCTGAGTCAAATATCATTAGCCTGTCCTCTTCGGTGCATCTTTAACTTTGTGTCTGAATTCCCTGCATCCTTTAAGGTCTGAATTGCTCCTCCTTCCTGGAAGTATTTTAAAATACCTGTTGTGGGCTTCAATGTTACTTAATATGGGAGAGGCAGAAGCCAGAGCAGTCACTGATGTGCAGCAGCTGGCCCAGTGTGAGAAGGGAAGCTAGGAAGGGGAGGTGATCTGTCAGAAATAGGAGGGAAATTTGACTTGTGACTGATAGAGGTGACCTGAAAAGGAATAAGAAATTGGGTGAGTGCTTTGTAAGACTTAGAGCTGAAGAGGCTGGATGTGTGTGTTTCTCTGCTCACTTTTCCCCCCCACTTTAGGCATAGCAGGAAGATCGGTTTTCCCGGTAGAATAGTAGCGGGAGAGGGAGGTCATAGAAGAAGCAGTGTCAGTGTCTCAGCAACATTCAGCACATTGAGCAGAGCAGTTTGCAGCCGTTGGGTCATTTGCATCCTGAAGCTGTTGCTGGAGGACACTTGGTACACAGCCACACAGGCACTCGGCTGGTACAACAGTCCAGGCAGAGAGGCTAATATCACTCATGCTGCTGTAACTTCACTGGCTGGAGTTCAAAGCTGTGTTGGCAGAACTCAAGCTTTGTGTGTAGACACGTGTGCATGGCTGTGCTGTTAGAAGACAGGTTTTGCTAGGAAATCATCATCATTTGTTGTTGCATCAGTGCCTAAGAGCTTGAGTCAAGGACCAGGACTATTGTGTGTGATGCAAACTCAGAACAAAAAAGACAGGCCTTCCCCCCAGAGCAGGCAATCTAGCATAAAACACCCAACAGAAGAAAACACACAGGCAGCACAAGGAAAACAATAACAATATTGGCTATCATGATAGGCAGTGGTTTATGGACACTAACAGCCTACACCTAGTAGCAGAGACCAGATTTAATGGAAGATGGGTCAAAATCCCTGCAACTGGTTTGAAAACACTAAATGATGATTCTTCACCAGCAGTAGCACTGTAGATGCGGAAGATACTGACTTAGCAAAGGGGTTTCATCTTTCCCTGTGCACTGGGTGGCTAAATGCATTAGGCCTGTCTAAGCAACATTATGCAGTGCTGCAGTGAGCTAAATGGGGGAGAACTTGGAGATTTTAGTACCTAACTATAGATATGAAAGAGGCTTCCAGGCTAGACAAGGCTGGATTTTTAATGTAAAACTTTATTTTAACCTTTTCGGTATTTCTGTATAGAATTTCTGTCTCTTTCTGCCTCCCAGCACAGAGAGAGTATTCATGAGCTAACTTTTTTACAAGGCCATCGCTTTCCCACAGGGATGCCTGCTAAAACTCCTCCCCTTACCCGCCTCTGCCCCCCACAGAGGGCAATACATCTCAAAGCCGGAGTCAGCTGCCCCAGCCTTGTGCTAAAAATAGCCTGCTTGGGCTGTAATCCAGGCTCTGAGAGCCACCCTCCTGCTGGGCTGACCTGCCTCTGAGACTCCTTGCCTTGGCTTGCTGTTGGGTTTTTGCAGTGCAACCATGCTCTTAGTCACAGGACAGGGGTGGAGTTCATCAGGCAAAGTGAAAAATTTCTCTCCTCCTTTCTTACCCCTCAGATCTCTCACACTTTCCGGAACTACAAGGCTGGAGTTCGTTACATCTTCTTCCAACACGGCGGACAGGACACTCAGTATTGGGCAGGATGGTATGGGTGCAGAGTGACTAACAGCAGCATCACCATTGAGCCAGGGACGTCCGCGTAGAGGTTCCATGGGGAAGACTCAGTCTCTGGAACCAAAGGTCGCTCGTCGCCCTTCAGTTAATCTGGGTGAATTCTGCCAGTTCAGACTTTGTTTGGTATCAGATTTGGTTTGTTTGTTTGGGGGTTTTTTTTTTTTTTTTTTTGCTGTCCTTTTGTGACTCTGTTTCCATACTCTGGCTGACAAGCGAGCTCTCAGGAGTGGCAGCCAGCCTCCTACAAGCTCTGCCCTCTGAAATGGCTCTTTTCCCCCATGCTTTCTTTGCCAGGCCAAGCTGCAGAGTATCTCTCCCAGGGCAGAGAGTGTGCTGCAGGGCCTAGGAATCTGCCTCTTCTAAAGTACGTGGGCTTGGCTGTAGCACAAGGATGTCAGAAATGGGGACTGATGTCAGAAATGGGGACTCCTGCAGCATTTTAAAGGAGACCTTCAAAGGGGCGGAGATTAGGAAGTGAGGATTGTGCCTGTGGGTTTCTGTAGAACAGCTGAGAGGTGTAAAAACCTAGTGAGCTTGGGAGGTTGAAACAGGGGGTTCTAACTCAGCATCCTGTCACTCTGCCCCCCCATTCATGCTAATTGAGCTGGAATTGAAAGACAGGCTGTTGGCAGAGGAAGCCAGTTATTGGAGTAAGGGAAAGCTAAGGGGCTTGGTGCATAGAAGTATCTCCAGAAGTGAGAGCTGCTATCAGCTGAAAGGAAGGAAGAGGGGGATCCCGGAGGAAGGCAGAAGTAGGCAGGACTGGCTAATGTGACTACTATTGTGCTCTGACCCAGAAGCAAAGGGTGATGCTACCAACTCTCTGCAAACCTCAGGGGTGGTGAAGGAGAGCTGGAGTGGGTGTGGTTTGCCGTTAAGGGCTGCAGGAACTCACCAGGGACCACTTGCGGGCAGGGACTTTTGTTGTTTTACCTGCTTTAGGATCAGGATTTTCAGGTCCTTTGAGAGCAGCATTTTGCTTGGACATAAATATTGCTTCTCTCACCTTTGGGTTTAGGGCTGTTGTGAACCTTTCGAGAGCTTGGCCAACGGTCCGTGGTTTTGGTTGTTAGAGACATGAACAAGTTCTCAATGGTCTGAATTAAACTGCTTTCTTGGAATCGCTAGTCAAACATATGGGTTCTCCAGGCACCTATAGAAGCTTCCCTAGAAAATAATGTGAGACTCCAAAGTGTAGCATGTAAAGCAAGTGACAAAAAAGTTGCCAGGCCTCCTTTATATGCTGAAAACAAAACCACCTCCTCAAGCCCATGTCACCGCTCCCCCCTTCTTACAGTGTGAAAAAATCTCTCTCTGATTTCAACCCTGGGTGTCTGGGATAGCTACAGATTGACTAAATGTAGCGGGGCTGATGGCACCAGGCTGTAGCTTTTCCTGTACACTGGGGCCTCACTGCTTTAGTGTGTGGCTAAAAAGAAGGGTCCTGGGGCATCATAGCACCAAGGAAAGGAAGTGCGGCAGAGAGGAGTGAGTTTTCTTTACACCTGAAGTGCTTGTGCTACTGGCTGGCTAACAGGAATCAATAAAGTGAAATTTGGAAATCTGCATATTGCTAGTCTATTACTTTAGTCTCTTTCGTCTGACATTTCTGCTCTGACACTAGGGCTATGTCTACACTGGCGAGATCTTAAGCAAGAACATGTCCACACTGCCATGTGCTTTTGTGTAAGAGCATCCATGACAGCGTGGACACTCTCTTGCGCAAGAAAGCTCTGATGGCCATTTTAGCCATGGGGCTTTCTTGCACGAGAAACCCCTGCCCCGCATCCACATTGCCCTCTTGCACAAGAGGGCTTACGCCTGCTAGAAGAGAGCGTAGCTTTTGCGCGAGAGCCCTCTCTTCCGACGCTGTACTGTAAATCTTCTTGCTCAAGAGCGGGCGGGCAGTGTGGATGCTCTGCGGAAGAGCAGCCGTTCTTGCCCAAGAACCCTCCAGTGTAGGCATAGCCTGGGAGTAGGGCATCAGGTGATTCCACGGTGACCATCTCGCTGACTGGTCATCAAGGGAACTCAGTGAAGTAAATAGTGTTTCTTTGCCAGCCTTACCCCCCCCTCCCCACTGCTCTTCCCTTTTCTACCCTCACCGATTCTACGAGCTTTGGCAGGCCCCACTGAGGCCGAGTTTTGAAAAAGAGTGTTATGTAGACTTTACTGGAAACAATGTGAGTGGGCATTTCAGTTACCTCAGGGGGAATTTTACCATAAAAATTCATGTTAACTGCATGTGCTATTTAAAAAACCCTCCCTCAAACAACTCTTGTAGGAGCTCAGACAAGGAACAGATGCCTCAGCTTGCAGGGTAATAGCACTGAACCTCACAGAGGATCCGGAGGGGGCAGAGCTGAGTCAGGAGATGGACCTATGCTACAAGGACAATGCCCTTGTTTATTGTTTCTCCCACAGGATGGAGAGGAGACCCTTCCTAGAGAGGCAGGAGGGTGGTGCTGTATTACCTTTGCCATGGGAACTGCCTCTTCTTGAGTGAATCCTGAGTGCTGGGTCTCTAAAATATTGTGATGTGACATAGTGGGGCCCAGCATCTTGTGTGTACAGCGCTAGTTTCTTAGGGATCGATAGGATCTGAGGGCAAGATCTCTCTCCCCGTGGAAGTGTATGTGCACGGGGGATATTGCATTGCAAAGGAATCCAGGAGAGGTTCTCCACACACCTCCTAAAAACTTTCCCATGGAACCATGTGGTCATCGCTTGTGTCTAACACTGAAAACAAAGAGAGAGCAAGTCCACTGGGTGCAGTGGTGCCAGTTACACTTGGTGACAGAGCGAAATGGTGCTCTGACCAGTAAAGTCCCTGTACCTCTACTGCTCAGGGGGAGGCTGTGTTTGCAAAGATTCAGGCTAGCGCCACACTGGTAAAACTCGCTCAGTATTTATTGATAACTACAGATCACTCACAGGGGACACACATTGTATGTCAGGACCCCCTCATCCCTGCTGTAAGTCCAGTGATTTCACCAGTCACAGCAGGAACAAAGTTGGCCCCCAATCTCAGACTTCCAGCACAACAAACACAGCTTTATCCAGCTGGATACTCATAGGTAACAAAAATGGTCATTGACATACAAGTATCAATGTACAATTGAACTACCCTATTAATGCTTAAATTGGGCTAATAAAAAACAAAATGAGAAATTCTGATTCCCACCTGCAGCTTGTATTACCTCCCCCCCCCGCTTTGTATCTGAGGATTTACTAAAACACTCCACACACAAACCCACACCAAACAGCCTGCTCACATGTAGGAGTCAGTTCTATATAAAGCGAGCAGTAAGGGCACTTTAAACTCATAGTCACGTGGCCCTCAGTAGCTGCTCGAGGGACATTGTCACTGGAGCCAGCTGAAAAAGCACCTGTTCACTAGGTAAGTTGCATCCCAGTAGTAGACACCTGATTCCTCTGGATGATCTGAGCCTTGGACAAGGCTGAAGATGATTACAAGAGTCAGCATCAGGTACCTTTGTGGGCTCTTTCTTCTACATAGAGCTGCATCTAGAAGAGAATAAGCAAAAGGCATTAAGAAAGGAACCATGCAGGGTAACCTATATGGATGTGTGTAGTATCTTCTGCAGTATGGCTGCGTCTAGACTGGCATGATTTTGCGCAAATACTTTTAACGGAAAAGATTTTCCGTTAAAAGTATTTGCGCAAGAGAGCGTCTATACTGGCATGTGCCTTTGCGCAGAAGATTTGCTTTTGCGCAAAAGCATCCGTTCCAGTGTAAATGCTTTCTTGTGCCATTTTAGCCATCAGGCTTTCTTGCGCAAGAAATTAACGTTACTGTCTACACTAGCCCTCTTACGCAAGAGGGCTTATCCTTGAGCAGGAGCGTCAGAGTATTTGCGCAAGAACCACTGATTTTGTACATTACAAAGTCAGTGTTCTTGTGCAAATACTCGTGTTTGCGCAAAATCATGCCAGTCTAGACACAGCCTATTGATTTAATTCCCTATTAGGAGAACTGTACTGTAGCGGGAGGAAATCAGACTTAATCAGCTGGGTTTTCACCACAGTTAGCACCTGTGATCGGAGTCCATTTCAGGAGATGGGGTAATCTGGTGCTATAAGGCAGCAACAAAGAGCTAAGGATTCAGTCCAGGGATTTATTTTTGCTCTAGGTCCACACCTTCAAGGAGCCCAGTTCCAAGGGGAGTCTTGGGCGCATTGTTAGGAGGTGCTCGGTCCCTCACAATCAGACTATTAGTGGGCAGGGGTTGCAGTAAAACACAAAGCATTCACAGACCGGAGCTACAGCCCAGCTTTCCAGCAGCTGGCTGTGCCATAGGCTCATCTCTGACAGCAGGGTCATTGTTCTGTGGCTTGTTCATTGGCCACTTCAGCCCTCGTAGACTGACTGACTCCCTGCTTACTGGTGATGGGATAATAAGGCCAGTGCATCCTGCCACAAAAAGGGCTTCATACTTTGGATGAGGAAGGTCCCACCCTCTCATGCTTGCCTGGGCTCAGTGCACAGTGACTCCTGGGTCAGCAGCTACGGCTGGGGTAAGATGATTCACAGCAGTGGTAAGCCAATGCCCTGCAGGTGACAGATTCCCTTCACCCTGGGGAGTATGAATAGACTGAAGTAGTGCTCATGCCAGGCTGGGCCTGCACTCTGCTCACCTTTAAGATGTCTGAGGTCATGGTCTTCAGGGGGATTAGCCGGGGGTCATGCATGTGCACGTCCTGCTCATCTGCCAGGATCCATGGGAAGTCCTGGAGCAGGAATAAAACAGGGAGAATGAGCTGCAGAGAGCACCCTCCCTTTCTGCCATCCTCAGAGGGCTTGAAATGGGAGCAGTGTTGGCTGGAGGTGGCAAGGATCCACTGCTGCCCCACCCTTTGGTCTTCTGCACCCCACTAGTGCTCCTGTCCTGCCCCCCGTCTTGTCATTGGGTCCATGAGAAGAGGAGTTAGGAGGGACAGGGGGCGGACGGGGGGACGTGAGGCTGTGAGAGGGATAACAGATTGGAGAGGGGAAGGACCAGAGGCGAAGCGTGTGTCTGAGCAGAGGGACATGCGGCCTTGCTGCTGATGTGCTGGGGAGATAACTGGGAGCCCACAGCTTCCAAGTTGTTTATAGAGGAAAGCCTCACGGACAATCCCCACCACGCCCATCCCTCAGCTAGTTTAACAGTGGAGGCGGAGCTGAGGTGTCTAATTAATATGGTTTCCATTGTCCTATACACTCAGAAACCTCACTCCTCCTCCTCCTATTCCCTTCTCCAGACCTCCACTGTCAGGCCTTATCCTCTGCACTGGAGCTACAGCCTGAGAACAAACCAAAGTCATCCAGAGGAGAGAGAGTGCTCAGCACCTTGCAAGATCAAATCTTTAGCCACTTGCTCATCTGGAAGCCAGGTATGCTATTTCCACAGGGGTTGGCTGACTTCCCCGTAGGGATGCTATTGCCCCAGGAGTCCTGGCTGACATCTAGGTAGGCTGCTGGCCTGCCTATCCAGCCCTAGGCTCATTGCCACCCTGCCTGCTGGCTGGTTCACACCTCCTTCACAAGGGTTTTGCTTGAGTTCTTTCATGTGAAACAGGTAACAGATTCCATGTGTCAAACTTGTCCCTTTCCCTGACCCAAGGGCTGCCAGTCAGTGCCTCCCACTCCTGGCAGCTCTTCCTCCATCGTCCTACAGGCTGTCTGCCTGGGCTCCACCTTGCTCTGGTCTAAGGCCTACCCCAGGAGCTAGCCTACTTCCTATGGCCCTAGCCTAAAGGTCTCCAGCAGGAGCCTTCCTGCTCCCTGCAGCTCTCCCCATAAGTGGGCTACTTTGTTAGCTTTTATAGTCACCTGGTCAGCCATAGGCATGGCTACACCCAATGACCCTCAAAGGGCCAGACACGTAGGGCACTGCATGTATGTTCTAAGTGCAAAACTTCACACCTTCCTTAGGGAGAGGTCTTTGGAGATCTTTTCTCCCAGCGTCTCCAGGGAACAGGCGCACTGATGAAAGGAGAATCCCAAACTGCAAGACCTTAATTCACTTCCATACTTCTTTGCTGTGCAGCTCACTGCACACAACAAGCAGACAGAGGCATCACCTACCTTGATCACCTGGATCTTCTCCATGTTTCTTGTGGCAGCCTCCCTCGTATGAACTAGGACAGTGAAGGTGCAGCCTACAAGACAAAGGGCTGAGATGAGAGGAACGCACTAATCGCACAGCCAGAGACTTGGAGGTAACGGACCAGGGTATGATCTGGGTAGTGCCCAGACAAAGCTATCTCCTCTGTGTGCTTCATCCACAGCTAGGTAAATACCAAAGGATTGGGAAGGTAACCTGTCATTTTCGGGTATCTCTGACTTTGCTAATTCTCTCCTTAGTGCCACAATTCAGAAACTGTGGATTCCTCCATGGTCTCCACCTTCCTCTCCAGTAAACCTATTGTCACCTCCAGGCCTCTGATGAAACTGGTCCAAGCCACCTTTTATAGGATTAGGATTTTGCTCCAGTATTCTTGCTCCAGTATTTAATTTCTACCCCTCACCTCTTGACCAGGATGCTCTCTGCTAGCTGGCTGCTCCCCTCCACTCCAGAGCTAGTTGCATTTCAGTGATGCTACGGGTGTCTAATACGCAAAATGCTTTGTGATCTTTTGGGGGTAGAGCCCCTGTACAAGAGATTATTTTCCTCCCACATCTCCATTTGAGCATCACTGAGTGCAGCTGTGCAAAGCAAGCTCTAGTGCATCTGTCCAGGAAAGACATTTCCCCACGCTTTATGCAAAGAGCGTTATGTGAAATCGGGCAGTCAGGCTATCCTTGGAGCAGCAGTCAGAGCCCGCCCTATAAAAAGAGGATTTCAGTCCTACCTGGGGGGTTGTTGTCAAGTACGGCATCACACACGCTAATCTTCAGGATGAAGGCACGCAACAACTGCTCTACGTGGGACAACAGGGAGTCTGAGCTGGGGAGGAAACAGAGCATTATGAGAGCTCCCTGGGCCAGATGGAGGGGCCCTTTACAATATCAGTTCCCAAAGTGAAATAAGGAGGGAAGGAAGCAGGCACTAGCTGCACCGGGCTGGTGAGAGGGAACCTTTACCTGATGGAAAGTAGAGGTGGCTGAGTGATCTCAAAGACAAATCTCTCCACGGGGTGGTGCTCTTTATCCAGGATCACCACCACCACCTTCTCCACATCATTCTGCAAGCACAGACAGGTCAGGAGAGCTCTACCCCGACCATCACTTTTCCCCTGCTCCCCACCTGGCTCTGATGCTCCCTATGAATTAGGAACATATCTAGCCCCACATCACTACAGTGTATTCCCAGCGCTTCAAAAGGCTGCTAGATGGCTCTGGCTACAATCAAATGCCTTATATGTTTATTATTGGATATGAGATCCCACCTGGGGGGAGACTATCCTTAGGACTTGTATGGAGCTGGAATCCACCAAATAGGACTTTTCCTTCTCTAGCTACTGCTACATGGAGAGGCAACAGCCAGCCTTCAGAGGCTTTCTGTCCTAGTTCAAAGGACACCAGGAAGGAAAGAAGCAGTCCTGTGTCACTTTAGAGACTAAAAAATTAGTATGAGCTTTCATGGGGAAAACCCACTTCTTCAGACGAGCAGGAAGGCTCCACTAATTAGTTTATGTAAAAATAAGTGTTTAAAAATCCTAATATCTATATTAGGGTATATATATTAAAAAATTAAACCCTGTGGTGCTGGCAACCAACCCCTGCAGCTTTGTGGCAAATACTCAAAAGTGAAATGGATGAAAACTAACCAGGAAGTGAACCTGCCCTATTTCAGTCCTCCACACTGAGAGCAATGCCAAAGTGGGAGGAGTGAAAAACAGACTAAGGCAATGTGCTTTGCACAGCCAGACCCCTTCTCCTATGTGGAGCTCACTGCAGGAACAAGGCCTTAGGCATGTGTCTAACGTTGCTTGAATTATTAACTCCACTAATTTCCATAAGGCTGCTCACATAGGTCAAGTTACTTATGACTAAGTGTCTTCAGGATTTATAATCTTTTTTTTAAAGAGTTAGCCAGTTTTAATCATTTGAACATCTCACAGTTAAGGACATATATACAGTTTGCAGTCTGATGGTGTCCCTTCTGTTTCAGTGTGAATAAGTGAATAGCACCAAACCTGGATTTTGACAGCAAAGAAATGTATAGAAACTGATTAGGTCACTAACGCTTTACAAATATCTGTACCAAATATAGAAAATATTGTCACTTACAAACACTGTTTCTGTAAATACTGTTTCTATAATAGTAGGACAATTTATTTTAAAGTCATCTAACTACTTGTGACCAGAGCAGTTGGGGAAGAGCACAAAGGTTATGCCCAGCATGAGGATATCTAGCATGGCCTCACCTTCTCGAGTAGTGGCTTCACACAGTGCAGCGTGTCCTGGATGTACTGATTCAGCTCTGGGTGACAGGACATCTGTGCAAACAGAATGCGAACTCAGTGCTATGTTCTGAATAGCTAGAGATGGTCAGGGGAGCCGATAGCCATGCTGGGCCTCTGGGTAAGGTGTGTGTTTGTGGAAAGGGAGTGCTACACTCCCCAAAGGGGTGGGGTCTTGGAAGGGATGGGGAAGCAAGCGCACCATGCCAGGTCCCTCCCAAACCTCAGTGCTGCCCTCCCTCCCTGTAGCCCTTAGAGCCACTCGGAGTGTGGTGCGCAGTGCTCTGACAGCAATTTAAAGAGCCCCCCCTTTGCCTCCCTCCTGTTGGTAGGCCTGGAGAAGGGCAGGTGGACTGCAGAACTGCTACTGTGATGGAACAGTTAACCGCTAGGTTGCCATTTTTAATCTAGCAGAGGTAAGTGGTGTTTAGAAGTTGTTAACATAGGACGACAGTGCAGTGAGTGATCTCAAAGACAAATCTTATGGGAAATAAGTCCAGTGGTGTTTGCTGACAACTACCTTGTCTACCTCACAACTGCTTTTCCTTAGGGATAGTCCCTCACAGGCAGGAGTAAGGCAGCATGGGGGAAATCTGCACTGTTGCTGCTGCTGATCTATCTGCTCTGTGCATATGTGTAACACTTCAGGCTCCAGCACTGCTAATTCATTCCTTTCAGGACTACTAAATTCACTTTAAATAGCATTAAGGGTTTAAGTTTGTTCAAATATAAACTAATTCAATTATGCATTAGCCAGCACAAATTAACATCCAATATCTCACTCATGGCCAAAGCCATTTCAGTAGCACCCCCTCGAGCTCAAGCATTAATAAGAATACCTCTTATATCTATATAGTGCTTTTGAACATTCAGCATGCTGTCTGCTTAACTGTATTTCCTCATAGCCACAGAACTACTGGAGTCTCTCCTACCTGGACTGGGACATTGTATTTTTTCCTCTTCTGAAAGATTCCAATGGGGTAAACTTCTCTAACATAAAGGATAAGGTGAACTGCCACTTCGAGAAACTCAGAGAGAACATCTGCAACCACTGGCGAACAGAACAAGGGAGGGTGGAACAAAGAAAAACAAGCTCAGCAAATATTTCATAGCCGCATGAATCTGCTGTTTAATTGCTGCTCAGGATTTTATTTTTATATTGCTTGTTTTATAAACTGCAGCGACAGTCCTCCCAAAGCGTTTTACCCTTGAGATCCCTACATTCACCATGGAAATATAACCACTTGCTGGGTGGAATACACCAGCCATTTTCCACCACAGCAACACTACGCTACCAATTATGACAGGAAGTAAAAAAGAATCACCAGCAAGGCATTAAAGGCATCCCATTTTCCCTGTACAGGTTTTACCCCAGTCATAGCAGAAGCTCCAAGCTGGGAAATAGAAGACAGAGCCAGCTCTATCTCCACAAGGGTTACATAAGTGGTTTTCAAACTTTTTTTCTCTTGACCCTATTGAAGAAAATTGATGCCCACAACACAATTTAATCTGAGTGTGTGCTCCAGAGGGGGGCTGAGGATGAGAGCTTTGGCGTGTATGAGGGGGTTCTGGCTTTGGGGAGGGGGCGTATCAGGGCTGGGGCAGAAGGAACTTACCCTGAGCAGCTCCTGGTCAGTGGTGCAGTGGGGGTCTAAGGCAGTTTCCTGCCTCTCCTGGCACTGCAGACCATGCTGTGCCCCGGAAGCAGCCAGAAGCAAGTTCCCAGCCAATGGAAGTAGGGGCTAGTGCTCAGGGCAGGGGCAGGGCAAGGGGCAGTGCATGGAGCCCTGTGCACTCTTCTGACCCCAGGAACCGGGCCCATTGCTTGCCACTTCTGGGGTGCAGCACAGTCTGTGGTGCCAGGACAGACAGGGAGCCTGCCTTAGCACCTCCACTGGTCACCTGATCCACCTGCAGCAATGAGACTCAGTGCCTGACATTCCATGAGCCAGTAGTGGGTTGTCACCCATAGTTTGAAAACCACTGGGTTATATGACTCCCTGTACCAGCAAGAAGCCTCATAAGCTTCTGGCGAGCAGCACACTACACTACCTTGTCCAAAGTTTAGATCCTGCCGAGTGAGGGTGGTCATCTTTCCAGTAACCTGCAAATGAATTGGAAAATGAGTTACTCTCTCTGTTCTCAGTTCAAGGAGCAATGCAGATTCCTCCCTCCAACCTCCCCTTACCTGCACACCCACCGCAAAAATCCACACTCTAGAACAGGATTTTCCAACCTATTGGTTGGGACCCAAATATGGGTCACCATTACATTTCAAAAGGATCACCAAATGTCTCCCCAGGTGGCTCTGCCCTCCCTCCTCCCCCCATTTTTGAATTGCCTTGGGTCACCAAGTCTTCCTGAATTGTCAAAATGGGTCCCCATCTGGAAAAGGTTGGGAACTGCTGCTCTAGAATGATGTTCACACACACTAACTGCTATTACACAGACCAACCAAGGGTCCAGATTTTGAAAGACCACGTAGCTCCCATTTACTTGGACTGCCCTCATGGTTGCTCACAGATCTGAACTCAGTTAAGAGGATAGTGGGTTACACAATTTTGCACAAGATAAGTCGTCTGTGTTCTTGATGACAGCGCAGACTGCAAATTTGAATTTATTCAATGGTTTCTGCTATTTGTGGGCATGTTTTCTTCTTCTTGTTTGGGGATTTTTTTAACATTTGCCTGGGCAGTGAAACTGAGTGGGGGGGAGGGGGGGAGTTAAAGCCAAACAGCAAAATGTCATTGACTTGGAAAAAAAGTTTTATAAAACCAAACTCCCCCTCCCATTAGGTACCTACATGGCTTCTGTTATATAGCAGCTGAGCACCTCAGCTCAATTGTTAACATACTTATCTTCTCAATATCCCTACCAGGTACGAAAGTGCCATTAGCTGGGGAGCTGAGGCACAAAGTGACTAAGGCCATATATTTTAAAGGTATTTAGGCATTGCCACACTTAGCATTGCCGTGCCTGACTGATTTAGAAGTTGACATTTCATTTCCAAAAGACAGGCACATAGGAACCTAAATTCCACTGTCACCAAGTGCAGCCACACTTACATACCTTTAACAGCTAGAACTCTGCCCAAGGGCACCTAGAAAGTCTGTGGCACAGCAAGGAACTGGACCCAGATTGCCAGCATCTCATGATTGTACCCTCAACCTTGAGCTATCCTTCCTTTTGCACAGAGACCCTAATCTTGAAGATGCACCCACTTGAGTACAATTGCAGGGCAAGACCACAGTTTTTGATGCATAAATTCCAAAATGGTAACATCAGCTTAGGGCGATGACAGATGGCAATAGATCTGACCCAGAATGCACCAAAGTCAATAGGAACCCTTCTATCCATTACAATGGCTTTTGGATTAGGTCCCACATGTGTATCTGGATTAGTCGCTAGGGAAATGTACCACTCAGCACAATCCAAGGCTCTGGGATCTCTCAGTGGATGGAGGTTATGTGAGTTCTTAAGGATGCTATCTGGAAGCAGGCAACAACTTCAGCATCTTCTCAATGAAGACTTTATTAGTTGTATTTTGGCACCACCCAAATTGGTTTTGTTTCTCATTTACATTTTCAGGGTCACTGTGTTTGTCCAGAGAGGATCTTGAACAAGCCTGGATAAGCCTCTGAGGAGAGGACAAGAAGCAATGGGCTTAAATTGCAGCAAGAGAGGGTTACGTTGGAGATCAGGAAAAACTTCCTAAGTGTCAGGGTGGTTAAACACTGGAATAAATTGCGTAGGGAGGTTGTGGAATCTCCATCACCGGAGATATTTAAAAGCAGGTTAGACAGACACCTGCCAGGGATGATCTAGACCAGTGTTTCTCAACCAGTGGTACTTACGGGTACTCAGGAGAAGTTGGGGGAGGTACGTTAACAAGTGACATTAGGACAAACCTGAATTCTCGTTGTTTTATAGCACGTTATTATTTTTGTGCTTTGTACACCCACAAATTTCATCGCCCGGCCGGCTACGATCAAGTTGTTTAAACCAGTGTGTGGCAAGGGTAGGAAAAAAACTGTGTGTGTCTGAAAACTGGCCGTGCTGGGAGCCCTTTTTTTTATTACTTTTATTATTTTTTTGAAAACCGTATAGCTTTATAAAAAAAAAAAAGGTTGAGAAACACGGATCTAGATGGGGCTTGGTCCCGCCGGGAGGGCAGGGGACTGGATTCGATGACCTCTCGAGGGCCCTTCCAGTCCTAGTGTTCTATGATTCTATTATCGAACTTGTTTCACAACTTAAATATAAAAAACTTCAGAGGGGTAGCCGAGTTAGTCTGTAACAGGAAAAACTTAAAAAACAACAAATAGTCTAGCAGCACCGAAAAGACTAACAAAACATGGAGATGGGATCTTGAGCTTTCTACACTCACGCTTATACGTTGGCCCCTGGAAGATCCTAAAGCTGTATTGATGAGATGTGCTACCAGTCACTTTCTTCAACTTTGTAAAGTTGATCACATATTGTGATTGATGTGTTTCTTCTCTTCTTGTTCCTCTTCTGTTTTGTCAGTTGGTTAGGTTTAAACTTCTTTTTTTCTTAGATGTGTAACTCGATTATTAGTTGTCCTGTCAAAATTCTACATGACATGAAGTTTATGCCTACTGTCTGTTTTCCTTAGTTTAATATCTGAAGTTTGAGTAGAATTTGAATGACTGTTAAGTCAAATATTAGTTGTGGTAGCAGGCAGCGATCCTCTTCCAGCACATCCAAATGTTCCACCAGATTGCTAAGAAGCTATCTTTTTTCCCCTTCTCTTCTGCAGAATTGTGTTAATTTTTCTAGTACCAGAATTTTCCATACTTTTTGAACCCATCAGATGTTTTATGGGAAGCCTTTTTTCTCTTCTCCATCTCCCTCTGGTAATTCTTGAAGCAACAAAGAGGCAAATGATTTGTTCTTTATGGCTTTTATAAGACATAGTTTCTGAACAATTTAATAAAAACACCAGCGGCATCCCAGGGGGCTTTCCTTAGGAACCCGCCCCGACGTGACATTAGCATTGGGGGCTCGTTTGACAGGTCGGGAACCCGAGGCACCAAACGTTGCATGACTTGTGGCCCCCCAAAATCCCACTCGATCTTGAAGCTTCCCACCTAGGCTCCCGCGCCGTAATGCTACCAGGAATGTGCGCCAATGTGGAGCATAGGACATGTGAAGTGACTGTGCAATGTAACGAGCCCGTCAAACTAAAGACGGCGAAGAAAACGTAGACGGAGTTCGGAGTGAGCGCCTCAGCGAATCCCTTTCTGATTTGTTTCTATTCGCTTTTAAGCGCCATACGGATGTGCAGTGCTCAAAGGCTATGTCTGGACTGCAGGCTTCTTTCGAAAGAGGCTCTTTCGAAAGATCGCGTCTAGACTGCAGGAGAAGTCCGCTTTTTCGAAAGAGAGCACCCAGCGAGTCTGGATGCTCTCTTTCGAAGACGGCCTCTTTACATTGAAGAACGCCTTCTTTCGAAAGAGGAACTTTCGAAGGAAGGCGTTCTTCCTCGTGAAACGAGGTTTACCGCCATCGAAAGAAAAGCCGCGTTCTTTCGAAATAATTTTGAAAGAACGCGGCTTGAGTCTGGACGCAGGGGAAGTTTTTTCGGGAAAAGGCTACTTTTCCCCCAAAAAACCCTGAGTCTGGACACGGCCAGAGAGGCGCACATACTCTGGTATTTAGAGGCCAATCCTGCACACCATTATTTACACAAATATTCCCATCGATTTCCCTAAGAATTACTCCTGCCAGTGAAGGTAAAAGTTTGTAGGTGTGAGTTTTTACATGACATAAGAAAATATACACAGCTGAAGAAGTGATCCGGGATGCATCTCTAATGCATCCTTGATCTTGTCTGTAGTGTAGACATGGCCTGCATTGCATGCCCAAATAAATGCATGAGTCTTTAAAATGCCAAAGGACTCCATGAGTTTTTGTTTGTTTGTTTGTTTCTGGAACAGACTAACAGGGATACCCCTTTGAAACTTAAGAAAATATGGTGACAGTGTTTTGACTTTGTCAAAGAATTATAGAAATGCAGAGTTAGAAGAGACTGCAAGAGTCGGTTAGTCTAAACCTGCTCCCAGGTTGAAGGATTTGTTGGGTCTTAAACCTTCCAAGATAGATGACTCCAGCCTCCTTTTGAAAATCTCCATTTTAGAGGGACAATTTTAGGTGAAAATTGGCCCCAAATTCTACTTCTCTTTAAGTCAAAAACTCTCAGCTCTTTGTGTAGATTCCTGTTATTGTCTTTGATTCTAATCTGCTTCCTTTTAACTATCCAATCTTCAGGTGCTTACTATTCCCAGTTCTGCCTTTCTGTTTTTCCTTTTGATATTTCCATACCCTCTGCTCCTTTTTTCCTGCCCCCTTCCTTTTATTCCTTCACCCATTACTTTCTCCCCTATTTATTTTGGGTCTGCACATCCTAAACTCAAAACTCCGGTCATCTGAAGAAGTGGGCTGTGCCCATGAAAGCTCATGATACCATCTACATGTTTTGTTAGTCTATAAAGTGCTATCAGACGATTTGTTGTTTTTAAGAAATGTCTAAATTAATGTTTATTTATGCCATTAAATATTTATAAAACACAAGTAATCACTGCACCTAGCCACAAGGTGGGTCTTCCAGTGGCCCTACTGGGTAAGACATCAACTTTGAAAGGTTTCCCTCCACATGCCCTGGATGGTACAGACATGGGATGGGTTCTCTGGTAGCCTAGTGGTTAAAGCATTAACTTCCAAGGCCTGGGGTTGATGGTCACAATCTCACCTGCCTCTGGAGCAGCTAGGCAGCTTCCCCATGGCTGGTGCTGGCACCAGCTGACGGTAGGGTGTAACTGGCTAAGGCACCAACCCCTAGAAGTCTTCCCCAGAGTTAGCCACCCACCCATGACTTTCTCTTGACTGTTTCTCCCAACATTTTCCTGACAATAACCTGAGCTTTTTTCAACTTTTTTATCAATTTTTTCCCTGACCTTTCCCCCTATTTTTCTTCGACTTTTTCTTGACATTTTATCAACTTTTCCCTACTTTTTTTCTGGACTTGATTTTTTACTATTTTCTTGGCGTTTTTCATTACTTTTTTCCTGACTTCTTTCTTGATTTTTTTCACAATGTTTCC